AGGAAGATGGTTGAGAAAAAGCTCCCTGGATTTGGCACCAGGCTTCTTGGTGACCTTTACAAAAGCATGGGGATCCCCAGGGGGTAGGAGCGCCCAGGGAGGGGAAACCCAGTGGGACAAGAGGACCGGGTAGAAAGAGAAACTGTTTCCAGAACCTTGGTCATAAGAGCAAGAGCTCAGACACTGGCCCAAGGTAGTTAAGTGGGATTCGGCTGTCAGACAAGGAAGCCATGTGTCTGCCCGGCAGCCTGAGTTCATCCATAGAGCAATGTCACCAAGGAGACAGGAGACAGTTTCCTCACTTCATCTTGCGGCTCAGAAGAGCAAGGCAGTTTGCACCAATCTGGGGACCCTTTTCAGAACACTAAATCCTTCACCTCTAAGCAGGTTCCTGAATGATGCAGACTTACCCAAGGAGTTGAACTACGAGGAGACTGGAAGGGCAAGCTAAAACACATGAACAACACAGCACACACCAACCAATCCAGCATTTCAGAGCCAAGGAATTTAAGGAGCCTAAATGCAGGCTGAATGCAATTCAACTTATTTCTTTAAAGTCCAAGCTTCTTCGATCCTTTTCTGGACATCCTTGAGATGGGCAAAGCAACGTGAATCCTGAAGAATCTGCAGAATTGGGGTTCCCAGAACACACATGGGGAATACTGTTCTAGCACGTTCATCGGGAAGGAAGTTCACCCCATCACCCGGGAAACATGCACTGTTTGGGTCAGTCCTTGCTCCGGGGAAACCAAGGGTAAAATCACTTGAGTAAAATCTGTGGCCTTATCGTTTTTCCCTGGCACATTCTAGCAGCATGTTGACACTTGTTCTTGATTCTCACACAATGAAAGTCCTTCAACTGAAAAGCCCTTGCAGTGAGTCTCTCAAAAACACTCACTTAGCTCCAAAGCTCATTGGGGTGAGGGAATCTCAAAAAAAAAAAAAAAAAAAAAAAAGAAGAAGAAAAAGCAACTTTCTACACTAAGATGATCCACTAAGAAATGGATGTGATTTATGGCTCTGCTGTGAGGGGAACTGGAGTCACTGAACCCCAGAGTGCTTGAAAAAAAAATGGAATTCTTTGAAGGAAATGATCCTTGATGGCACATGGCAAGACTGCCGTGGTTTAAAAGGAAGTCAGAGTAACACCAATCTTCATTAGGAAAATGTCCAAGTTAGAATATGGAAAACAATTCGGGGGGGGGGGGAGGGAAGCAGGGGGGAGGGAAAAGAGGAAGCAGATTGGCTGTGGGGGATGCAGGGTAAAGCAGCAATGAAGGGGGAGCGGTTAGTACTTAGTGCACGTCCTCTGTGTGCTTGGGAGGGAGAGATGTGCTAGAAAAAAAATGTGTGTGTGTATATATATATACATATATATATATTTTTTTTATATCATTGTTCATATTTGTACAGTTTGCTTTGTCCTCGCAGGTATTGTAGTCCCCATAAAATTCCTGCCACCAAGTCACCCATGAACCATCACCATAGTCCCTTGTGCTCTTCCTGCCCCGTTTTAATCCTTGCCCCTTCCCCTCCCCTGCTGTATGTCTCTGATTTACAGTTGCCTGCTAGTTTGATCTATTTTAAAAAAAAAAATTTTTGAGTCATAGCTGAGGTCCCTTGACAGGGGTTTTGAGAAATGAGGATCACCTGAACCCCTGAGAAGACCAGCCACCTTCAGAAAGGACTACACAGAGCCAAGATGAAGTCTGAGCTCCCTCAGTGCCTGAATTCTAAGGACTGCAATGGACAAGAAGGGACCTGCAGAGGGAAGGGTCAGGAGCGCCAGGATGTGAAGACGGCATTGGAAAAAAACAGAGGTGAGAGTTTCTACCCACTACGTGCTTCTCTGGCATTTCCGCAGGCACCCAGCCCCAGTCCCTTTGCTGTGACCTCAGCGCACATCTGCGAGCGCGGCACCACAACAGCAGCAAAGTCACCTCCACCCACAGAGCCATTCTCTGCCAGCTCCTCAGATATCCAGACATGGTCGAGACCCCAGATCATGATATGAAACCCAGAAGTACGGTGAGGGCAGGAACGAGGAAGAAGCACGTTATCTGCCATTTGGGCAATGAGCTAGAACTCCCTCTCGACCGTGCCAGGCAACTTTGACTTTTCCCCCATTTGAACACTATCCAGTCTGGACCTGCACGACACAGATCACATTTCTGCTGAGACTGGCAGTGATTCCATTTTAATTTAGCTTAATTGTGATTTTAGTACCTTCTAGTTAAAGGTAAAAAGCACTTAAGCACTTAAGCAACCCACATGGTGCAGCAGACCTCTCCTGTCTTGCCCACTGCTCCCCTCAGCAGTGTGTTTCAGTAGATCCACCTGTTCTGCTCCCCATTCTGTCTCTGGTGAATCCTCTTACCCCCCACACCTCTGGCCTGTACCCCTATTCTTTCATGCATCAATAAATAAATCTTAAAAATATTATAGGCAGAAACCCACAGAAAGGTCGAGTAAATCTAAATGTCTGATGCAGAAAGCTGGGTGAAAAGGCAGATGACATAGACAGGAACTGGTGACCTCCCCAAGTTTCAGTGGTGGGAGGGGGCTCGTAGGGTTGTATGACACTCCCCAGTGAGCATCTCCCCACACAGAGTAGCTAAAGAGGCCCCCTGTGACAGGAGGAGGCGGCACTACAAAAATGGGATGTCATGGCTTGTGAAAACGGTTTGAAAGCCCTCAGCTGACCCAGCAGCAGAACCCAGAAGGAGAGACTGGGCCAGTGAGCGAGAGATGTGAGCAGAGAGGACGCATGTAAGACTGGAGAGGGAGGGGAGACCAGCAGTGATGGAGACTTTGGGAAACCAGATGTTATTCTGAGATTATAGAGAGGCACGTCTGGAGGGTGGGAAACAGATCAATTACAGAGAACTTCTGTAAATGGGAAACTGAACTTATTTAACTAGAATAATAGGGACCATGGAGGAAGCATTTTTGAGTTTCTGAAATCTGGAACAAATCTAGGGTCCAAATAAACACCATGCTTCTTTCTTCTGGAGCAGAAGAGTTACCAGGAAAAGACACCTGTTAGCCAGGGCAGGAAGACTGATAAGAATTAAAACAGATTATGAAAAAGACAAAATTTTGCCTTTTGCGGCAATATGGATGGAACTGGTAATAATAACTCGCTAAACAAGTCAGAAAGAAATCAAGTCTTGGGCTTCCCTGGTGGCACAAAGGGTTAAGCACAGCACTATGAAGCAATCTGCAGCCTCTGCAGCAAGAGTTCGATCCCCAGCCGGCCAGGGAGCAACCCACATGGCACAGCAGACCTCTCCTGTCTTGCCCACTGCTCCCCTCAGAGTGTATTTCAGTCAGTCTGCCTGTTCTGTTCCCCACTCTGTCTCTGGTGCATCCTCTCACCCCCTGCATCTCTGGCCTGTACCTCAACGCTTGTATGCATAAATAAATAAATCTTTAAAAAAGAAAGAAAGAAAGAAATCAAGTCTCTTGTGTATGGAATATAAAAAACCACTGGGGAAAAAGGAGTGGTCACCAGTGGGGTGGGGGTTGGCCCACTAATGGGAGGGGCACTAGGTCTTCTGTGGTGGATGAAGTGAGGCTCATTTGCACACAGCTGTGAAAATGTACCCCCAAATTATATCGTATTGTCATCAATACAAATTTATTAAATAAAAGAAATGAAATACAAAGGCCAAGATGGCAAGCATAATCATGAAGGGAAACTACCATCCATTCTCCTAAATGTCAGACGTGTATGGCTATTTTCTAGAACCATCAGGAAAGTTGAGTAACTGTGACAGAGACTGTGGGCATACAGAACTGAAAATATTTATTGTCTGGCCCTTAATACAAGTTTGCCGAGTCCTGGTCTAGAACAGGCCTTGAAAAGCTGCCCTCAATCTGATCAGACGGCAGCCTGCTAGGTAACATGCCCGCATGGCAAGCAGAGAGACCCACGACCAATTTCTTACTGGAAAGCCGAAACCACGTTAGATTCACAAGTGACTGAACAAAAGGTATGGCAATGCCAAGGTTACTCTAAAGGGGCAGAAAGCACTGGAAGAACAAGGAGAGAGCCTCAGAGGCTCCAAACTGTGCCCAAGGGGCCTCCTTAGTGGCCTTAGGGTTAAGTCTCAGTGTTACTACCTCAATGGCCTGAGTCGATCCCCGGCCAGTGAGCTAACTCACATGAGCAGCAGACCTCTCCTGTCTCGCCCGCTGCTCCCCTCAGCAGTGTATTTCAGTCAGTCTGCCTGTTCTGTTTCCCCCTCTGTCTCTGGTGAATCCTCTTGCCCCCCTGCATATCTAGCCCGTACCCCAGCTCTTGTATGCATAAATAAACAAATCTTTAAAAAAAACTGTGCCCAGATCACAGAACACATACAGTTCCTAATGGGGCTAGTCCAGCATTGCTTCCCCCAAGGGCCTGTGCCCTGAGGTCCCTTTGGGAAGCTGACCTTGGGAAAGGCTAGCCCAAGTTTCCGGTGGTCAAAGAGAACTGACAGAGAAAAGTAGCACTTAGTGATGGCTTGATTTGCTCAAATCCATTTATTTCTTTGAGCGTGACTTAGGAATTACCTTCGTCTATTACTCTGATCCATTTGTGGACAGGCACACATGTAATAAAATGATGGCTTCAGATCAGTCCATATATATGTGCAGGTGGTCGTTTATATAACTCATATCAACAAATGAACACAAAAAATAATTTATATCCAAAGTTATGTGGTTGATGTGGATACTCTCAGTTTCTGGGTGCAGTAATAAGCAATCCCTCCACATGCAAAGCCATCTTAAAACTAGAGATACTAACCGAGAGCTTTTACTTTTTCAGAATTTGTCAGAAAAGGTCGCCAAGCCCAGCACACTGATAACAGCATGTCCTTGGCCGAGCCTGTCAACCTTTCTCCCTGATGCATCCCTAGATAAGAGAAGGAAGATGTGTTCTGGACTATGGAACCTGGCTGGCTCAGCGCTGCCCCTGCATCCTCCACACGTGATTTAGAGGTCCCACCCGGTACCTTTTCTGACCGGTTCCTGGTTTTCCTCTGCTTCTCTGTTGACCCGGTTCTGTTCTGGCTCAACCGGAGGCTCGTGGTCGTCAAGTTCATCTTCTGTTTCATCGTCACTGTAGGGAACCACTTCATCGTTAGGTTGAGAATCCTCCTCAAATGTTGTTTCGGAGTCTCTTTCTGTACTCATTCTGCTGACAAATAGGAACTACCTGGTTTAAAAAAAAAAAAAGGACATCAGAGCAAGTACTGACTCTTGCCATTTGTGGGTTGTATCCAGTTACAAAGCCCTTTCAAGAGAACATTATCTTATGCATATGTGAGTATGTCTGAACAATAACCCCAAAGTTCAAGTTATCCTGCAAGGAAGAGCAAAACCATTCATTATCGATTAAATGCTGGGTGAGAATTTATAGTAAAAAAGGTAGGTACAATTTCTTTCCCTTTATTACAGAAAAGTGTACACACTATTTTTTTTTTTTTTAATTTTTTTTTTTTTTTATAGAGGCATGTTTTATTTATTTATTTGTTTGTTTGTTCGTTTGTTTTGTTTATACATGCACTGGGGACAGTCAGAAGCGCAGGAGGGTGAGAGAATTCACCAGAGCCAGAGCGGGGAGCAGAGCAGGCAGAAGGACCGAGGTACACTGCTGAGGGGAGCAGCGGGCGGCAGGAGAGGTCTGCGCGCCATGTGGGACCCTCCTCTGGTGGCCGGGGAGCAGCCGGGAATCGAACCGGCGCTGCAGAGGCTGCGGGCAGCTTCGCAACCCAGCGCTCAACCGCTGCGCCACCGGGGAGGCCCGAAAAGTGTACACACTATTGAGCAGTCTATCAGATTGTGGGCCTCTACCCAACAGTGTCAATGCAGTGGGTCATTATTAACATTAAAGCAAAAGGAAACCATAAATTATCAAAGTATGGCATCATAGTAGGTACTATTTGGTGCAGCAGTTTCACAAAATTGAAACAGACACATGCTTATTTGTATTGTGGGTCTTAGCGGGACTGAATATTTTTTTTAAAAGATTTATTTATGCATACAAGAACTGGGGTAGAGGCCAGAGGTGGGGGGTGTGTGTGAGAGGATTTACCAGAGACAGAGTGATGAGCAGAACAGGAAGACTGACTGAAATGCACTGCTGAGGGGAGCAGCGGGGGAGACAGAGAGGTCTGCTGTGCCATGTGGGTAGCTCCCTGGCCAGGGATCAAACTTTTGCTGCAGAGGTTGCAGATAGCTTCACAGTGCTGTGCTTAACCCTTTGTGCCACCATGGAGCCCAGGATTGAGTTTCTTATTATGGACTGCTAGCAAAGTTTAAAAACCACTGCCCTAACATATCTGGTTTCTACGAATGCTAATATTCTGAGCCTTCTGCGAAATTTCAAATTACAAGCTTTCCTCCTCAAACTTTACTTTTTTCTTGGGTAGGGTGTACCCCCTAAACTTCTATTTTCCTAACTGCTACCACACACTCTGTGTAGGCCCCCCACTATATGAAGTGACTCTGCATGGATGACAAGCACAGCCTGAGTTATATTAGGAAAATATTTACACAAACACCTCAGGTTAAGTGAGGACAGACCTTGAAATTATGTACATAAGCATCACACAGCCAATACTGTTAATAGCTGCAGTTCACATTTATTTAGTGTTAATGGTGCGCCAGGTCCTGCAGGAAATGCCTTATACAAAATTGGTGCTTTGAAACTCCATCACAGAGAGGGTATTACTGCTATTCCTATTTAACAGAGGAGAAAAACTAAACTCTGGCAAACTGAAAAATTTGCACATTAATTAAGATTTTGCATCAAAAACAACTGCTTTCCCAGGAGTGATCTTTATATAGAAGATCTACTCTTGTGTTACAGTTTGTTATTTCAATCGAGTCTAACTTGCCTTGAGTTCAACATTGAGCTGATTGTAAGCTTTGTATCAACCTAGTATCCTGGACACCTCAATTTTTATAGACAGGAGAATACATCCAAAAAATGTTCATACATTTACCCGAGGATATTGTCCTGTATTATTTTAGCTGGAAAATCCAGAAGCAACCTGGATGTCCAATGACTGGCAACTGTGTAAATGAAATGTAGCATCCTAACACTAGGAGACCAGGCAGATGACTTAGACCAGAAGAGCTTTTAATGACTGGGGAAGTCCACTCACATTCAATGGAAAGGTGAGTTAACATTCCACATATCCAGAACAGTCCAAGTTTTATATAACTTCAGTACATTAAGTGTCAACTTGCTTATTTTCTGTGTCAAGACTATATCCATTGCTTCAGGGTAGAGGGAGGACACAAACAGAAAAAGAAGTATGTTCAGTAGCCACATGTATGTGATCCAAAGTAAGCAAGCACTGCATAAGCCACCAATGCATCACCTGAACACCCACCATGTACCAGGTCTGTGCCAGCTGACTTGGAAAGCCAGGGTAGGGATCACTAAGTTGAGAGGCAAGTTCTCTGCTGTGTATCTGTGCATATAATGCAAACACACATGGCACTAGATTAGCTCTGTCACTTTGAAACTACCAAAGGAAAATTAGGAAGAAATAATTCCTTTGAAGCCCTAAGTAATGGTAGCCAATTAAGGCAGACACAACACAGAATATGAGCTGGAAATCCCACCATCCCAGCATATGCAGCACGTGTGCACGTAGTCCACATCCAGTGCCATGACCACACCAGACACACACCAGAGACGGAACCGCTTAAGAACTTTGGGTTATTGAGACAAACAGGCAAACTGTGCATGAGAGCCATGAGACATGGCAAGGCCAGTCATTCTGCTCCCTCCCCCACCACCATCACCACCAGTCCATTCCAACTTCATCATCTCCATGGCTACCCACCCCCCCAATCAGGCCACCATCATCTCTCCCCAAAAATGCTGCAAATGAATTCACTGGACTTCCTCCATCAAGTTCACATGGCCACCACAGTCATGCCATTCTCCTACTTTGACCCTTCCTCTGTGTTATAAACTGAGATGCGTCCTCCTTAAATTCAGAGCATGAAATCCTACCCCCTAATATGACTGTATTTAGAGACAGGGTCTCAAGGAGGTTCCTTATAAGAAAATGAAAAGACAGGAGCTCTCTCTCCTTCTGTGTCAGCACAAAGGCAAGGTCACATAAGAACACAGAAAGATGGCAGCCATCTACAAGTCAAGAGGAGAGGCTCACTAGAAACCAGCCCTGCTAGCACCTCAACCTTGGACTTCAGCCTCCTGGACTGTGACAAAATAAATGACTGTGGTCTAAGCCACCCACAACCACCAAAGTCTGGTATTTTGCTATGGCAGCCTAAGCAGACTATGGTTTCCCACTATCCGTTAAGGTAAATCCAACCATTTCCCCACTCTGAGAGTTCTACACATTCCTACAACCTTCTTGTTGCTCAATGTTCCTCATCCCTAAGACCCTGATTTCAGTCCCTTAAGGCAAGGAAAGCCTATCCTGTCCTCAGGGCCTTTGCACCTGCTATTACTGTCCAAAATGCTCTACTCCCAGCTCCTTGTAAGGCTGCTATTTCTCACTCTTTTGATGTCAACTTCAATATCCTCTTTGACTGATGGTGTTGAGCAGGAACCTGCCCTCCTCTCCCTGCTAAGACCAAATGCTTACATTTTTGTTTCTTTCCTGGCACTGATCATGCTTTGTAGATGTACATTTGCTCTTACTTATCATCTGCTTTTCCTTCTGAACCACAAGCTCTGCAAGAACAGAGCCCTGTCTATGAATTGCCATGCAGCTGGCAATTGGGGGGCAGAGCAAAAAAGACTCAGTAAAGTCGTATGGACTGAGAATTATCTCATCTAACATTTTGAAAGTCTATTTTTCCCAGATGTTAAAAAAAGGGGAGGAGGGGGTTTGGTATTTATCTTTCAAATATGGTGAGGATTGGTTTAGCTAATTAATAGGTGTGAAAGCCCCCAGCCATGACCAACTGACAGTAACTACAGCGCACGTTCTTAAAAGAAAAACATAAGACAAAAACTGAAGGACAATACCCTTCATGGAAGAAGACAATACCTCTGCCCCCTCCCTTCCACCCTTTATTAGATTCTCCCCAAGAGAGGGGCCTTGATAAATGTAGGGTCAGAGCCTGCAACACTGAGGAGACCAGTTATTACACTACCCAAGGCCTGAGTGACTCCCTCCCTTCCCATCTCCATGTGGCCAAGACCAGGACAGGATCTGCCTTCTAGCAGCAGGCCCAGCATCAATTACTATCACATCCCCTGCCAGTCAGCTGTTCAGTGGACTCTAGACCTTTCCTCCAGTCTCCCTCAAGAGTCCAAGGCTGGGGCCTCCCTGGTGGCCTAGAGGTTAACTCTCAGCACTATCACAGCTAAGGCCTGAGTTCAATCCCCGGTCAGGGAGCTACCCACATGGCACAGCAGACCTCTCCTGTCTCCCCCGCTGCTCCCCTCAGCAGTGTATTTCAGTCAGTCTGCCTGTTCTGCTCCCCACTCTGTCTCTGGTGGATCCTCTCACGTCCCTGCTCCTCTGGCCTGTACCCCAGTTCTATGCCCAAAAAAAGAAGATAAGAGTCTAGGGTTGGGAGAAGAGCAGGAACCAGGGGACTCCGTCACAGAGCTCCATTGAGGGCTTGCCCAGCTTTTAACAAAGTGGTGCCTCACTTCCCACCCTCTTCCTGCTCTATTCCATCCTTTGATCATAAACCTCAGGAGGGGGGGGGTGTTCATGGCAGGATTCCTAAGTGTGAGCTCCTAACACCCATTATAGTCACCTCTGAATACTTGGCTACCAACTACCTGTGAAGTGAAGGGGGGTCGGGGAGTAGAGAGGGAAGGAGAGAGTAAGCTGGAACCCAGGCAGGAGAGAATTACTTTTCTACCTGTGCAATTAAATCCTGAAGTTACGAAAGCCCAAACTTGTACTGAGGTTTCTAGATACAAATGAAAGTAAAGTAGTAAACAAAAAATGTTGAGCTTTGCCACTGCTGGGGCATGATCTGCACACACAACAGGAACTCAAATGCTGGGAAAGGCCCAGAGTCCTGGATCAATGATATCTTTGTTATAGGATTTGATTCAGGGCCAGGGTGACCCAAGATTAGCCAGGGAGTAAGATTCATACTATTCATTTTTGCTCATTCTTTCTTATCTTTAGAGCTTTTAAAGTTCTCAAATAGGAAAGGGCATTTAAAATGTCTCTTGTCCTTAATTCATTGGCTTTTT